CACTTTCTTCTCAACAATCCTATGAAATGGCTGATCAAGATTAAAATCCCTATTTTATAGATGAGGGAACTTGAGACTTACTAATACAACTAGGAACTTGGTGAGAAGGGATTCAAATCCAGACTTCCCACTTCCAAGGTCAGGGTCCATTCTTTTAAAAAGGAAGAATATATGTTGCTAGTCAGTTACTATTAACTTAGGAAGTATACTTTTAAAGCACCTCAATTTATGTCTTTTTAGAAAGAGTACCCTGAATCAGTGGGTGTATAGGTGCTTTTTGTTCAAACTACTTTAAAATACTGCTTATGTCAAAAACTTCCTGATTGGCTTTTTAGTAACATTATTAAAGTGGGAGTTTTTCAAAGGGATAGATCTAGGAATCTGGGCTACCATGGGGTACTATGAACCAAATGAGCAGTAAGAGCTCTCTGATGCATCATACAACTAGGGTTGGAAATATGAAATATACAAATAAGGAAGCTGATATGACCGCACTTTTTTTTTGATTTATTTTGTATCCTGCTATTTTACTGAATCTATTGATTATCTCAGTTAGCTTCTTTGCTGAGTCTCTGGGGTTTCTCTAAATAAAACATTATGGCATCAGCAAAAAGAATACTTTCATCTTTTCTTTACCTATGTTTATGCCTTTAATTTTTTCCCCTCATCAGATTGCCATTACTAACATTTCTAGACCTACATGAATAACAACTGGGAAAATCCTTGCTTTACTCATGCATTTGTAGAGAAGGTTTCTAGTATTTCCCCCACTGCAAAGAATGACAACTTATGACTAAAAGTTATGGCTTAAATCTGTTTTTAAGAGATTGAATTTCAAAAATTCTTTGGAGTTCAAGAGTTTCTGAACATATGACTAATATGACCTAAGGAAGCCAATTAAGACATACCTATTAAGTAAAATTCAGCAGGAAATACAAATTTCAAAAATTCAGCAATTCATCAAGAAAAATTGGAAGTTTGGTAGAGTAGAAAGGACACTGGCTTGGGAGGAGGAGACTGGTTGAAAATAAAATTTTATTACTAACTCACTATGGGTCCTTGAACTAATATATTAATCTCTTTTGGCTTCAAGTTTCTATCTGTAAAATGGGCTAGAGAAGAGATTGGATGATTATTTCCAAGATCCCTTCTAGTTCTAAAGGTCTTCTTTCTAATGTCAGTTTCCCTTTTGAGAAGTCTTTTGCTTATATAGCTATCATATAGCAAGAGACAGTCCTGGGAACAAAAAGAATAGCAGTGACCTGTTTCTCAATGACATTGGGTACTTTTCTAAAAAATGCCATTGAGAAATCCAGGATTGTGTAATTCTGAGTAGGGAAGGACTGAGATGACAAGGGCCACTTTGCAGCTTTCTAAATGTCTGTGTGGACACTTACGAGATCGGCCACTGGAGATTTTTTCCTGTTTTGTTTCTCCACTTCTACTTGCATCTTGGCCATTGGTTTGGCCATCGCGAGCGCCATCTTGGCTTCTGCCTGCAGCTTCCTCTGTCTGGTGAGGAAATCCATGTCATCCAGGGACTCCGACTCCTCTTCAGTTGTGTCTCTGTCAGAGTAGGAAGAGCTCTGCTTGCTCTGTGGGGTGACAAGAACAACCATGTTCAGGAACTTCTTTCTTTTTTCCACCTTCCAGGAAATGGATGCCCATTAGGGAGCAGCAGAATCACTCTTCTATTCTACAACAACTGTGTATGTCAGAATGCTTTGGGTTTGAATCAATGTTCACTTTTCCATTTGTGTATCTCACTACATGATTTTGGTGTCCTTGGTGCTGAAGCTAACCCCCCAAATGCCTTTTCAGTCAATGCCAGGAGCAGAGGGAAATGAAGCTTTCGGATTTCAGTCTGAGCAGGACGAGAGGGAAATGAGGCAATGAATTATGAGAGATTTGAATTTGTAAAATTAAAAGCTTCCCTTGACCCAGCCTCTTTTTTTTTTTTTTGAATAGCCAGACAAAACAAAAAGAGTCAAAGGGTCATTCTGAAATTTAATTCAAAGTTTAAGCAATCTGGGGCACAACAGGGAGGACCACACTTGGTGAAGCAAATGAAACTGACACTCAATGAGCAGAAATGAACCAGTGCTCTCAGGATCTGATCATCAATAGTGAAAATCACCTTTGAATAGCATCTTCCCAGGCCTCCAGTGCTCTGCCTTCTCACTTCCCCCTTTTGGAGTCTTCATTTCCCTTTAAGATTCAGCTCAGGGACTACTTTTTACATGAAGCCTTTCCCAGCCTTTCCAATTCTTATTACTCTCCCATAAAATTACTTTAATTGACCTTCTATGCGTTTTGTATTTGTGCATCTTTGTGCCGAGTATCAGATCATAAAGTTAGAGCTGTAACAGACTTTACAGACCATCTAGTCCAACATCTTCCTTTTATTAAGGAGAAAGCTAAGTGACTTGCTCAGGGTCACACAGTAAATGTCAGAGGGGGGATTTGAACCCAGGTCTTCCTGATTCCAACTCCAACACTCTATCTACTAACCTGATGGTCTTTTTGGTGGCAACCAGTGATGGTTGGAGTTTGTACTTACAAGCTTACTTGGGAAGAGAACGATGCCTCATATATTTCCTGCATTAGAATATTCACCTTGCATTTATTTCAAAGTCACTGCATAACTTGAAAATCTCATTTGCACTTTTAATGCACCATAATTTCCTCTTTCACTAATTATGATTTTCCAAGAGCTTAAAAAATATGAGAAATTTCACTGGTCTTTCCAGCACCACCTCTTGTCTCCTAATGGACTGGGTAGCTTGATGAGCTCAGTGAGAGGCCACACAGGGAGCTAAGTATCTACATGGGTATCCACACCATGGGTGTCTTACCATAGGTGACAAAGGGGTGTCCAGACTTGTTTCCGTCTTACTATCATCTGCATCACTGTCTTTGTCACTCCCGCTGTCATTCACAAAACAAATTTGCAAGTTCATCCCACTTTGTAGCCTAGACCAAAAAAAAAAAAAAAATAAGAAAAGAGCACAGTGAACCATAACTTTGTGGTTTTCTTTTTCGGTTGCAGTCAGATTATTTCCTTGAAAAAGAGTTTCCAGGAAACTATTTCCAACAGAGGCAGTGGCTTGAGAGCCTATGTGGAGAGAGAGAGAGAGAGAGAGAGAGAGAGAGAGAGAGAGAGAGAGA